GGCTGTGGCAGGGCTCTAGCGAGGTTCGTTAGGAGGTCTGGCTAGGGACGATGACGCCAGGGCAGGCTGTGTTTCCTTGTTCTCCTGAGCAAGGTGCAGGAGCCTTCTCCTAGATTGCTTTCCGGTCAATATCGAACAGGCCAGGAAAAGTACAAGCCCCAGAGTTTACAGACTTTGCTGTAGCTGGCTGTGGACTAGGAGAGTTGCTTATTCATCGGGTTAGTCGTGATATGAGAATCAATGGAAGACTTTGGTAACTTCTTTACTATTAATAAATCGTTTGCAAGAATAATTGCATGACATCAGGATTCCACTGGATAGTGCATCACACGGTAATCAGAGCAGTAATGATGCTGTGGATTTTCTGAGTACGTGAGACCTTGTGACTATAAGCATTTACCCAAGATCTTTGCTAATTACTTTCAAAGAGGGATGGAATAGGGCATTTGCATTGCAAGGTGGAAGTAGCTCCTTATTTTCTATATATGATAGATTTTATTCCAGGTACATCATCCTTAAACATCAGTTCACCATGTAGCTAATAATAAGTGTTGATAAATTGATAAAGAACTGATTGAGTGTTATCACCTCTAAGATACTTTTGATAAACATTAGACAGTATACTTCTTATACTAAGCTGAATAGTAGTTGAGATCTGTAACTGCTTATCCAACAGAATTAAATAGTTTATGTGTGTTAATAAAAATATCTAACTTTATCACTGGATGTACCTAAATAAAATGTAGTTCCTCATAATTGTTAAGAGAGACTGTTTTGTGGCATGAGCTTAATGTCAAGAAGTTTACAGAACTTAACCAAATTCTGGAATGTGTTTCCAGTAACTACTGTGCATAGCCTGGAAAGTGAAACTTATCTGTCCCTTTTTGATTGAGAAACCAAGAAGAGACATAAGCAGAGCAAGTGTTGAAAAGAGACTTTATTTTGAAAGGGATTGTAAAAATAGTTAGGGATGGCAGCGTGGAGGTCAGGCATTTAACATCTTGGTTAACAGTAGCAACACTAAAATGCTGACAGCATATAAAATAAGTGGTTTCTTAAAAGTAAATTGAATAATTGATGATAGTGCCTAAATATAAGACATACTATGTCTTTCTGATAACCTTTTAAGTTTAAAATGCTGCTTATGTTGGAATTTTATTTGTATTTGATTTTCATTTACATTTCATTTTATTCTTATATTTGCATTTCATTGAGTTGTTCAAGGGCAGCATTAAATCAGTCTACATTATTAAAAAAAAAGTGAAACTTAAGTACTGATTTTTTTTTTTTAATATGCTTTAGAAATCCAGATAAAACTAGGGGCAGTATAGCATAGAATTGCATTAGAGAAATCGTGATGTAAAACTGTAGAAAAAGGAAAACGTAGATGTAATTCATTATCAAGAATAATAGAAGTTGAGAAAGTTAGAGCAGAAAACTTTAAAGGAGTGACTTGATGTTCTCAGGCTTGGGAGTTATAAAAGAGGATTTGGCTCTTAATGAAGGACATAAACTACTCTTTTTAGCTCTTTTCAGTGTTTAGTAGTGGAAGCAGGGAGGTTAGCCTTAGGAGAATGCAGCAGCTAATTATACAACCATGATGCAGGTGTAAAAAAAAGAAGTAAAATAAAAACAATCTCATGTGTGAGATGAAGACATGAATCTGTATCTATAAAGCATGAAGAAAACCCCAAAAGCGTGGAAGGATGTATGTGTGTGTAGTTCTTAGTGCCGAAGTGGCAAAGTTTCAGGTTTGTGGAATGGTGAAAGAAAATACATGGAAAAGCCTTGGAAAGGCTTGTACCAAAATATGTCTGGTATCGCGCACAAAGAATACTGAAAAGAACTGTCCATTTGCTATCTGAGTACACTGATCAAAATACAATTTGTTTCAACTTCTGTTCCTTAACACTTGATATCATGCAGGCTGCTAGCCAAATAAATGCTTAAGAGGGCATGGGTATGTTAATTTTACGAGCTTTTTGCTCTTGCCTCACAACATTCATTTTAGCCATCTGACTTACCTGTTAGAAATGTTTGTTTTTTTTTTCCATTTTCAGGGCTTGGGTGTTTATTAAAGGCTTAGTTGTCTTATGTACCTGATATTCAAAGGTTTTGAACTCTGCATGACAAATATTTGGGCCACATACTGTCTAAAAGTATTCTAACTTTAATGATCCTCAGACTGTAAGATTAGTTTATTCAACTTTCAGGAAAGTAATACCATTCATCTCTTCTGAGGTGTACTTATGGTACACTCAAGTCAGTGTAATCCGGTCAGGAGAACACGTTCCTTCTGGCGTATTCAGGGCCTTGTTGTACATGCTGCTGGTTAGGTGACAGCTAGCATTCTGTCTTTGAACATTCACATTTCTATACTCTGTGCTTTAAATATAATATGTACAGGCCTTGGAAAATAATTTGATCTCATCTTCTAATAGGAAAAGCTCACCCTGTCCTTCATAAGAATCATGAAAGATCATGTGGCTACGTGGAACTGATTTTTGTTATGACTTATTTATGCCACAGCTTTTTCCCTGTGCTCCACTGTCAGTTTGTTTCAAAATGTAACTTTTTGACAAATACATTGCTGAAAAAAAGTTATAACTTAATTATTGTTGAAGATGCCTGTCTTGTACATAAGACTTCTTTTTTGAGTTCTGTTCAGACATGCAGAGTTGCGTATGTAAGCTTTTATATGCAATGATATTTATCAGATGAATTATTTAATATCAAAGATATAGTAGGTGTTTTTTATTTATAATAAAATCTAGTATGAAAGTAAGCTAAGCCCAGCCCATTGTAAAGGAAAATGTTCCTTACTTGACTGAACTCTGTACTCTAAATGAGCGTTTTAGAGTTTGTCATGTTCACCTTAGGTCAGTTAAATGACCTTCTGAAGCTGAGCATGAGTGCCTAACAGGCTTGTGTTCCTGCACCTCACAGTTGATCTCTAGTCCAGTTGTGGTTTTGGGCTCTTATTCTTGCACAAGCTAATCATTGAATTGGTCTTCCAGTATTGAGTGGGTTTTTGCAACCTGGGCTTAATTTAGAGCTGCTGTGTTTATGGTCCTAGAACTCGAGGATTAGTTTAAAGCTAGTTCAGGTATGCCAGCAGGAGCTGTTTGATACAGTGAAACGTATATTTACTTCAACTTCAACAGTTCTGTGGGAGAATGTACAGTTAATGATAGGTGTAAAACAAAGATTAACACTGAAGCATGCTTGTGATGCATGTGAAATGTGAATTTGCAGTATTTTCATTTACATATTCTGTGATTATGAAACTAGGGGAATGGAGTTTGACACGTGTGAAACAATGTCTAACATGTCTGTCACTGAGTGACTCCTGAAACATACAGGGCTTCCTCTTCCAGCTTACAGTTGTACCTTTAAGTTGTTGTGGAATGTGAAATAACTTGTTCTTCAAGTGTATTTCGTTTTCTTTCTAGGAAACAGAGAAATGGCCACTACGCAATCTGTCTTCACATTTGCTCTCTGCATTTTAATGATAACTGAATTAATACTGGCTACAGAGAGCTATTATGATATCTTAGGAATTCCAAAAAATGCATCTGACCGCCAGATCAAGAAGGCATTTCACAAGCTGGCTATGAAATACCACCCAGACAAAAATAAGAGTCCTGGTGCAGAAGCAAAATTTAGAGAAATTGCTGAAGGTAATATATGCTAACCTTAGTCTTAATAATTTGATACATGGCTTATATCTGTGAGCAAATGTGGTAAATTAAGTATACTCTGTTTTTACTGAATAAGAAATAAAAAGATTTTTTTTTTCTTAATTCTAATTCTGTTCTGTCAAATGTCCAATATCAAAATTGACTTGTTTCTGTGTCTTTGCACATAGGCAGGCCTTTTACACAGTTTATGCATTCTTGCTTATTAGGCTTTTTGGCTTATTCTTCTTGTCACAAAAAATACTTGGCAGTAGGACAACTTTAGCCCTAGGAGGCTAATTCTTATCTCTTGATCTGTCTAGTAAGATCCAGCTGAGGATTACTAGGGCTTCAGGGGGACCTAACAGCAACCTTCCAGTAACTATGGGGAGATTATAAAATAAAAATGCAGCAGGGTGCTTCAGTGGTTCGTAGTGGGGGTACAAGAGACAACAGGTGCAAGAGGTTCAGAGTGGTTGTCAGGAAAAACTTTTTCAGCTTGAGGATAGGCCAGTGTTGGAACAGGTTGCTTAGAGGTTGTGCAGTCTCCAACCTTGGAGATTTTTCAGGAATGAGTGGATAAAGCCCTGAGTAACCTAGTCTGATCTCATAGCTGACCCTACTTTGAGCAGAAGGTTAGAGTAGAGACCTTCTGAAGTCAATTCCAACCTGAATTATCCTGTGATCCTAGGAATACGCTGTTCATAAGTGTTTTGTGATAAAATGTAATGGTGGAAGCAAATAATCAAGAATAGAAAAAGACTTACTGACAGGTGTTCCACTTCTGCTCCTCATAGACTCTGTTATAACATCCATCTATTTGTGTAGTTCTCCTAACTAAGCTAGAAAGAGATTTTTGGGTTTTAACTTCTTGTCTGCAGAAGAGTTCTTTTGAAAGAAAGGGAGTTACTAATCTAATGAAAGGGAGGGACAGTCTTGTTAGATACTTACTGCAGTTGTTAGCACCTATTGCAGGAGGAATTGGAAACTCTTAATAAGTGTTGAAGTATATAGAATAGTTGCAAGCCTTTGACAGATAAGAAAATGGAAGCTTTTAAAATACTTGATGTTATCAGAATGGGTATATTATCTGTTAGAGTTTCAGCCTTTAAACATGAGTAGCTGTAGTTCTGGACCAAAGATTAGATGGAAACCTAATTACATTTCAGGTATATCCAGTCACAAAATCTAGCTTTATTGCTGAACTTTTGAAAAACTAAAAATTTGGACATAGGGGAAATTAATTCTCTTTATCTTCTTGATGTTTATCTTGTTGCTTACTTGTAATTGCTGTGTAGCTAGAACTGGCTGGCAAGTGGTTTTGCAGATATTGCACTATATTTCTGTAATAGGGATGCAGCAGGCAGTTCATTTAGTTAGGTACAGCTCCTGACTCATCCTCCCTTCTTCAGGCTTTGATTGCCACGTGTCAGTGCGATTTTCTTTCAAATATAAATGCTAATCTTTGTTGCTAGTTAAACTATGTTACGTTATGTGAATTTAAAATTTTGAGGATATAATCTGTCTTCATAGTATAGCTATATTTGTTATTACAAATAAATATTTATTTTGAAACAGTTATTTTGGAGAAAGTTAAACAAATGTTGAGCCTGATTGGGCTTGTGTGTCTAATGAAAGTCTTGCTTGAAATTTATTATGTTGAGGTAGAAAGCTGTTCTTTGTATTTGTATATTATTTTCTTTTTCTTTTCTTTTTTTTTTTTTTTTTGTTAATGGGAATGTAAATAAACTTTTTAAACCTTTTTTTTTGAATGGGAATAGCATATGAAACATTATCAGATGAGAATAAACGAAGAGAATATGATCAGTTTGGCCGTCATGGAGGACAAGGAAATAACGGAAGCCCATTCCATCAATCATTTAATTTCAACTTTGATGATCTGTTCAAAGACTTTGACCTCTTTAGTCAAAACTCACGGTCAAAAAAGCACTTTGAAAATCACTTCCGAAGTCATCGGGAAGCTCACAATCGGCAAAGACGTTCTTTCCAAGAGTTCTCCTTTGGAGGTGGACTGTTTGATGATGTGTTTGAAAATATGGAAAAAATGTTTTCGTTTAGTGACTTTGAAAATGCACACCGACATGCGGTGCGAACTGATACCAGATTTCATGGATCCAGCAAGCACTGTAGGACTGTCACTCAGAGACGAGGAAACATGGTTACCACGTATACAGACTGTTCTGGACAATAATGTTTCCTTTCTTTTCACCTCTTCTTGTCTTCTTTCAATATCTTCATAATCTTTCTTGGTTTTGTGCTAACATGGAAAAATTCTTTGAACTGTTTGTTCTAATAACCACTCAACTGCTATAAAGAAATTGTAGATGAAACTAATCTTCAGAATAGAAACAACATGCATTCGGGAAATAAATGTCTCGGTAACTACTTAGAACGGGAGAGAAATAATCGCATGTGACAGAAAAAATCATATGTGTTTCAGTTTAGTAAACACTTGCCCTAAATTTGAACTTCAACACAAGATATGTATTTTTAATTGCAGAAATGTAATGTATTTTTTTCATATATGCCAGTTCAGGACTGTTGTGAGTTACTGGTGCATGGATTGCAGCAGAGGAGATACTTTAATTTTGAAGTGCTGCTTTTTTTTTTATCATATCTTTCCAAGTTTTCACTTGCAGTTTTTACCTGATATGGTGCAAATTAGATAATTTACACAAAATAGCAGCAGAAATATGACTTACCTGGGTCTTTGTTACTCTGTCCAGCGTTGCAAATATTTTAGTAAAAAAACATTTTTTGAAGTTGGGAAATAACAGGAGGGAGTATGTTAAGATTATGCTTCACCTAGGAGAGAGATGTAGGAATTACTTTTATTTCCAATTAGCGTTTCATTGGCCTGAAAAGATCTTAAGATTTGAATAACCCTTGATGTATTTAAGGGATATTCAAGTATGTAAGTTTGTGTGCACACAAGGACTTTTTCTTTTTTTCTTCCAAAATACAAATATGTCTTTAAAAAGGTTTGGAAGAGCATACCAAAAACACTCTTGTTTTATGCTTTTTTATGCTTAATTACCATGTGTGCAATGTAGTTTCTGTGGTTCAGTTTAACTTAAATACTCATCTGTGCTCTTGTGAACTTAAACAAGGTAAGTTTGCATACAGTTTCCTAGTGTTTCTGGAAGGGTCTAAATAAAAAATAGATAGGTTGTGTTTAGATTGACCCATTTATTACCTGTCAACAGGAATTTTTCAGTGTTGTGATTTGAAAGGTAAATTCTTAGCATAAACACAGAGTAAAACTGAAAATTACAGTTGTTGTATTCATCTAATGCCTTGTGGTGTCGGAATCTGCTAATAAGGACAGTACTAATGGGTAGCAACTTCAGCGCCATGGAAACCCATAACCAGTCTAAACTATTTAAAACTAAAAAAAAAACAACCAAAAAACACCCACAACAAACCCCCTGAATATTTTAACTGACGTCAATCCAAAAGTTCTTTTTTATTTCTTAACTAGTAATACAGGTTTAGTATATTAAATTGGTTCCCCTTAATAATATTAGTCACCCACATGTTGCTGTCCCTTTAGAATTGTGAGATGAGAATTTACCTTTCAGATTGACTGCATGAGCAAAAAGAGCATTTTAAACAGCAGTGTTCTAAATAGGCTTTGAGTTCTTAAAATCTTTAGCAAAAGAGATTTAACCCTTCGCTTCTCAGATGGATATTGAAAGCTGCCTATTTGCTAAGCAACTTTAACCTTCCCCTCAAGGGTACGTATTATTGCTTGTTCAGTTTTCATTCACTAAATACCTGGAATAGATTGTTGCATTATATTAAGTGCTTTTCCTTTTCCATGTTCTTTATTTATTAATAGACTAATACCTCATATGTGGTCTTTATAAAAAGCCAGTAATTTGTGCAACATGATCGGAATGTGCAATATTCTTATAGTAGGAAAAGTGCTGGAGTGAGTGTGTCTGTTATTTCCACCCTTTTTCTGTGTAAGTACAGACTCTCTAGTTTCTTCTGTGTAATTAATATACGATTCAACCAGAAGTTATAATTAATGTAGATCTGCATTTCTTTTCTTTAACATCAGTCCTGTGCATGAGTCAAATTATCTACCTGATTCATATCATATGGGCATCCAAGTGAACAAATTATTAACTTGAAGTTCTGAATTACTTTCACAAATATCAAGGGTTTTTTAGAGGTCGTTTCTGTATGCATTTGAGGAGAATTTTTCACACTAAGACTTTGGAAGAATGTGACCTTTAGTACTAAATGTAAGAGAGTATTAGTGAATGTCCTTTAGGGATGATGACTGCTGGAACTTGAGATCTGAGAGGCAACTCTAGAAGCAGGATGCAGAGGTAAGATGTAAATGCCTTTATTAAGTCTAGTGAATATTTTCTTAACTAAAAAAGAATTGGAAACAGCAGAATGAGCAGTTCTTAAGCGTGGGAGAAGGAATATTTGAAGTTCCTACTAGAACCAAAGCACTGACTTCTCCAAAGTTAGTTTTCTCCAGTTGTGAACTTGGGTCCATTCCTGAATCCTGAATTAGAGTAATAAAAGCTAAAATGAGCACTGTAAATTGTAGGAAACACAGCCATACCCAAAATTTAAATCTCTTTTGGGTGACTGTATGAGTTCATCATCTTTCAGGCTAAGCTTTTAGGTGAAAATCAAGGGTCCTTAGCTGCTTCTAGGTTAGCTTCTCCACTTTAAGGATGCTCCAGACTTTATTGATACAAAGTGTACTTGTTTTCCTTAACTCTTTAAAGTCGAAGTATGAAACTGATAATAAAACAATAAAGTTGCTAGTTGTCTAGCTGACAGTACCTTAAAAAGACTTCTGCCTAGTCTATTTCTAATCTGCTTCCATATTAGTTCTCTTAATTACTTGTCATAGGAAGTATTTGTTGGTTTTCCTATTATTCCTATGGCTTCTCCAAGTCACCTTTCTGCTTACTTTGGTTGTTGATCCAAGGTAAAATCCAAAGGAGAGCTTGTCATTAGTATTGCAGAGTCTAGTGTATGCTCTCCATATGACTCTCTGTGGTGGGTATGCTTTGAATAGACTTTAGCTGAAGAAATTCAGGCAGGCTTTCCTCAGCCAGCAGTCTTCAGTTTGACAGCTATCAGAACACAAGCTTGCAAAACATGTTGTGCTTCTCACTTATTCAGAGCTCTTGCACATTCTTTTCCTATTTATAGTGTTTGCTTCATGGCAGGCTCTCCAGCAGAAGTCCTGGTATGACCTTATGACACCCTTGACTTCAGAGGTTTCTTAAGTGCCATCTTTGATCTCTGTATCTTGTGAGAAGACCCAGCAAAACCTTTTTTTTTTGTTGCGTGAGGGTGAGAAATACAATTCTTGACAATTTTTTGGAAGCATTTATGCATATATAAGTCCAAATGGCTGAGTTTCTAAAACTGTACAAAAAAACTTTATGAAATACATGGTTTTTTGCATGTTTGTTTTTTCCCATTATACTTTTCAAACACAGTAGAGATGGAAGTACTGTAAACTTAATTAGGGCGCCATTATATTAAACATGTGAAAATTGTTGGTGATGTCTGTCTTTTTTTTTTTTTTTTTTCTTCAAGATGTAGAGGGAAGCCAAATTCAAGTGGGTTGGATGGCACTTTATTTTATGCAACATTTTGACTGCTACATTTTCCCTGAATGGGATGATGAGGTTGGTAGGGAGAAGGGAGTGGGGTTGAAAGAAATTGACTTAGTTTTACCTAGTTTGGTTTTTTTCAGACATGTTGGGAATGGGTTGGAGTTTAGACATGCCTGTAAACTGAGCAGACAAAAAAGCCTGTGCAAAAGGACTTTTTTCTGAGGGGCAGTGGGTATAAGTGCTGAACGCCTCCACCTTGACCTGTTGGGTTTCTGCCTGCTGCCTGGGCACTGACCACCCCGCTGAGATGCGGGGGAACAGTATGACCAGTGCTGATTGGTGTGGATTGCCACGGAAAACTGCAGATTCGGAAGCCACGGTTGTGCTAATTCAAAAGTTGACTGCGAGACTGCTTGAAAGTTCTTGTTTTCTGGGTCTAATCCTTAGAAGGTAGAGGGTATAAAAGTTTCTGGATTCAGTATTTCTCACTGAGCCATTTCTCATTAGCACAATCTTCCCTGGAACCTAATCAAATCTGGTGTCTTAACAATGCAAAACCAAATTTTGAGGACTAAATGTCTTGGAAACAATGGTAGATCTATGTTGCCTATTTGTGCCAAGGAGTGTGGGTTCTTTAAATTGTGTGTCCGCCCCCCACGCGCCTGTCTCCGCCCCCACGTCGTGCGGTACAGCATGCGCGCTGCGCTCCGCCGGGAACAGCGAAGGAGCTACGGCGGTGCCTCCCGGGTTAAGGGAACAACGGAAAAATGCCTGAAAATTTGGGGG